ATTAAATAAATATGGCTTTGTTTCCAATTAGTAAGTATTGTTTGCCATTTTAGAAAAATATTTAATATTTTTCTTAAATATTCTTTTCCATCTCAACCTATCTTTTTTAACATTTTATAGCTGATTTGCAATTTTTCTAAGGCTTTATTATTGAAAATATTTGAAATGTTTCACTCAGTTCTTCTTGTGAAATAAAATTTAAAAGATCTTTGAACCACTATGCCTTGATATAGTTCTTGGGATTATATTCTTCTTTCTAATCATTAGTGAGATTATTAAATTTAACCTCTCATTTTATGAAGGTTTCCTAGTGATTTCTTTTAATTTTTTCCTCAATTTCACTTTTTTTGATCATGATATATTCAGATTTTTTTTTTAACTTTGACTCTATCCAAAACTATCTTAATAGCTCTCTTTCTGTTAATGAGTTTACTATTTTTCTTTGATTATTTCATAGGTTCTCATATCTTTGTTCTAAGGCTATTTTAATTGTATCTCTAGCCTTTCTTGCTTTGAGATTCTGATAAGTAAATTTAAGATCTTCTATTGCATATTGTATATTCTTTTTCAATAATATCTATAGAATATTTAGAATACTATATTAGATACACAGTTTTTAATCTGGTAATTGGGGCTATAAGCTCTATTATATTTTTCTATGGTTGCAGTAAGAATCTATAGCTTGTCTGAATTGTTAGAAGACTTTGCTTTTTTAAAGAGTGTCATTAATTGTAATACTCTTCTAAATTTGATAAACTCTGGACTATGTCTATAACACTTATTTCTTAAAATTGATATGTTTTTGATTGCAAGCTTATAGAAAGTTGCTTTGCTAACTAACTTTTTGAATATCTTCAATATTTTGTTTATTTGAACTTCTCTCATATTTTCTTTTGATTCTTCTTGTAATAAGAAATCTAATATTGTTTTGAACTTATGGTTCAAACTATTATCAAATACTTATTATTGATCAGTTGTTGATCCTTTTATATCTATTCTTTTCTCCCTTTTATTAAGCAATTTGTTTAACATGTCTTTGGTAAAAAGATTTGTATTATATAGTAATCATTATTAATATTGTGTTCCCACTATTTATAACTTCCTTTATGCTTTGATTGTTGAATTATAGAATTGAATATCTTATTAGTTCTGTAATATCCATATATAGTCAATTCAGCTACTACTCATTATATCTCATCTTGTTGAGGTTTTATTTTTGCTTTTCCATATTGCCTATATGTCTAAAAAATTCTATTCATCAAGAAAGATGAATAGAGAGATTTCTGGAACCATGATAGTCTGAATTTTGCTTTAAAAGATGATGTTCTACCTTCTACTAGATTGTATGCTGTATTGAAATCCTCCATTAATATTACATAAAAGTCTTGTCATGTTTATTCTTAATAAAACTTTTCATTTTCTCTTGTACTTTTTTGTTTCTTTACTTGTTTGATGAGATGTATACTTACTGTATATACTACAGATTTTGTTTCTTTTTATCAATAAGTTGACTACAATCATATATCCTTTTATTTTTTCTACTGATGCTACTTTTTTTTTGAGATCTTTTCTGATCAGTAAATTGATTCCTATTCTATATGTAATGTTTGTATTAATACTATAGAAGTGCTTATATAATGTTTGATTGCTGAATACCCATTTTGTCTTTTTTTTTATCAATTTGATCTCACTTAATCCTAACATTCCTATTTTTTGTTCCTGTATTTTTTCTATAAGGCTATGTTGAATTACTGTATTTAAAATATCCTTAATATTGTGTATACAATTCTTATTACTTTCTTATGAATATTATCATCTTTCTTTTTTGATACACTTTTGTCTTTTACTTTCTTGAAAAACTCAATTTTTTCTGTTTGCAGAAATGGATCAACATTATATTTATTTTGTTGTTGAATTATTTCTTTTTGTTTTATTTATTACCCCTTGCTCTTGTTTAGAATATTTATTGTAGAAGGATCAGACCAGTCCTCTTTATTGTTATTCTGAAAAACTAATGTTTTTAGAAGCAATTTGTACTTTCTCTATCCTTTTTTATTTGTTTACTAGGAGTTGTTTTCCTTCTAGTCTTGAAATTCTATCATTCAGTCTTTTTAAGTTTGAAAAATGAGGTTTAAGGAGTTTTGTCTGTCTTTTGTGTCATACTCCATGTCTTCTCTCCATGAAACCTTCTGTTGTCATTAATTACCTATTGGTTCTCTATTGTTTCCTATAGCTGGGCATCTAAATATCCTGTTTATTCACTGTTTTGATTTATTGTTATAAGTTTGTTTTGTATTTCTTTGACACCTTATTAGCAGACTTTGCTTTGATAGTTTTTTGATTAACTTGTTGGCACTGTCAGTATTATTATAAAAGCTCATCTTTTTTAAACCTCTGGATCTCTATTTGGGCTTCTTATTACTTTTAATATCTATTCTTCTTATCTTTACAACTTGTTGACTAGATTTATAATTGCTTAAATCACTCTCTGGTTTGAAAACTTCTGTCTTATAGGACTACTCTTTTAATATTTCTTTTCTTTGATAAAGTGTTTCTTGACATTCTATATTGGTTTGTATCTATGAATAAAAATATATTGCTTCAATATCCTTGTTAGGTCTTGAGCTAATGCAAAACATATTATTGTATATCCTCTTCTTTTGAGTATATAAGGGTTTCTAAGTATATAGTATGCCTTTGTTTTAGTATATTGATTGCTCTTGCAATCAAACTAGTTATAGTATTGTGTGTTCCATACAATCTCAAGGATTGAAAGTTTTGCTATTTAATAATGTTATTAATCTTATCATAATTTAACTTATGTTAAATAAAGATGGCTCTAATTGTTTTTCAGTTGATATGGATCATCTATTCTTCTTTCATATTATTATATTACTGGTGTAATATTATTTGAGCTTTAATTCTTCTTTATAATCTTGAATAATTATAAATATGAATATTTGTTGTCTCTCCATATCTTTGAAAAGCAAATTTGATCTTATACCTTGAGTGACTTCGATTAATATCAATAAGAATTATTACTAAAGATCTCTTGTTTTTCTTTTCTTTTGCTGAAAGAATTTCTTATATATGGAGTATAAAACATTTATCCATTTTTTTATTTCTAGGAATATAACTGTAAAGTTTTTACTTTTTTTTTTGTTAGCTTTTTCTAAATACTGCAAAGCATCTTCTTCTTCACAACAGAAAATTGTTCAGGCATTGCCATTAAGAACTCTTTTTAAAAGGTTTTAAGTCTTTTAATAGTTCCAATATGTTTTGAAGATATGTCACTTATTTGTGTTTTGATTCTCCTGGAAGTCTATTCATAAATACTTTCATTTTGTATTTATTATCTTTTTTAATGTAAAATGGATTTAGGTTAGATATTTTTTATCTGTTTCTTATGGAATATATGAACTGTTCTACAATGTTATTCCCATTAATTTTTTCAGTAATTTCTTCTATTTCGATCTAATATTTTATTGTTTTTTCTTCTATTTCAATTTTGACATTGAAAGAAATTTCTACTATTATTGTTGACTGAACTTCCATATCTATTTTCTTTTCTGGGAGATATCTGATTATATAGAGATTAGTTATTATTAATTGCTTCTTTGGAAAGGTATAAGAAGCTTGTTGTGATTCTTCTTCATGATTTATTATATTAAAATACTTGTCCTCTAGAAAGGAGGCTAAAAGGTCTTTTTCTTTGCCTTATTCTGGATTCATAAGTAAAGAATGTGTTATTTGATAACTGTGGCCTTAATAAAGGTGATTTGATCAACATTTAGAATCCTAGTGATAATATTATCTAGGATCGAGTATCTACTTGATCCTGGGATCTTATTTGAGATATTATCTGTGTAAATATTGTATCGTGAATAGTTTGTATAATCTATAGTATTTGTTATTGATCATATTTATTTAATAGTTGAATCAGTGTGTCTATAATATGTACTTATCTTTTCTTTGTAATTTGTATTAACTTATATTTTTTATAGTTATATTAAATCATATTTTACAGAAAATATGTTGTTTACTTTTGTATAGTGTTGTATTTTAATCAGATATACATTGTTATTTAATTTGATCGGATGTGTATTATTGTTTACTTTTGTGTAGTGTTATATTTTGATCAGATATATGTTATTGTTTATTTTAATCAGATGTGTATTATAATTCCAGTTGATTAGTATTATTTACTAAAACAGTTAAGTAAAATATGTGAAATTGAGGAGTTAATCACATTTTAATTAGATTTTCTATTTGATACGTAAACAAGTTGTTGTATTCCTAAATAACATATATATGTTTTATATAACATAATGATTATTATATATTATTATTGTGATGTTTGAATGCTCTTTACTATTTAGTAAAAGAGACTTGGATATCCTCCTAGATATTGTGAACCTTGAGACTGAACTAATTTATTGGCTTGATCTATTGTTTACAGGACTTCTTTTGATATCAAAAAAGGTATTAACCTGTATTGATCTGACTAAGAACTTGAGAGTTGAGGTTGGGTTTCAAAGAACTTACTGTGAATCAGTTTTCTTAAATTTTCTTTTCTTTATAAAGAAAGAAAATCTATAAAATATGACTGAAGTGTATTTGTATTTTTCTACTCTTGTTACTAGAAGATTAGATATACTAAGAACTGGTCCTGTATAGTTATTTTTTGTTGTTTTGCTAGTTTTTTTGAAATTTTCTCTTTGTATTGTACTAATTTCTTTTGTTTTTCAAGAAAGTTATCAAAAAAGGAAATTTTTAGAAAAATTGGAGATCAACAGAAAGAGTTTTTTTTCATCTAATGAAATATTGCTTGACCTCAATGAGCTTTATGTTTAGAGATATGTTTCTAATCACCATTAATTTGTTTTTTTTGACTATTTTTTTTACCAATTTGTATATATTTGAGCTTATTTTTATCTAAATTAAGTAATATCATTTTTGTTGCATTATCTGTTACTTGTTAATTATCAAAAATTATGACAATGTGTATTTTCTCTTTACTACATTTACTCTAAATAATGATGAACCTAGAAGAAATTGAGGACTTTGATTAGGTAGAGGATTTTAGAACTGTTTTTCAGACTAAAGGTGACATTGGAATTAATGTCTACTTTAAAACATTCTTTTCTATATCTAATCTCTGGATTGAATAGTGTTCTCAATCTTGGCTTGATATTGGGACACACTATATTACTCTTGTGATTTACTGTTATTTAAAGTTCTTCTTTTATCTCTCTAATACACTTTTATACTGCTGTTCTGCATGTCAAACTCCTGAGAGAGTACTTGTTTTTGCTTATGAGATTTTCTTGTTTGAACCTCTCTTTTTTGAAAACATACTGTTAAAAAGTTTCTTGTTTCACTTTCAGCTTCTTTTATTTATTTGCTTTATATTTGTGATTTATAAATTATTACTGTTTCAACATCCATGCTGGCTGTTCTAGGAGTTGTTGTTATCTGTGTCTCATGAGAGTTTGCTTTTTCACAGTCTTGATTAACTTCTGTTATTAATGGTATTTAAATTTTTGCCTATATGTTAATAGACTTTTTGATATATAGTTAGTTGTAAAAGGAAGATACCTCTTTATTTCTTCTTTCTACATATTGGTTTTTTTTTTATCCTTTGTTGTTCAAGTTGTGAAACTTTAAAGTTTTTAGTGTTGAAGTTATCTTTTCTACTATCAAGGTTGTTGCATCTCGGATGCTCAAGAAAGAATTAACTGTAATAAAAAATTAATAATATAATTTATTGAATTTATTTTTATTAAGTTTTTCAAGTAATAAAAATTTTTATTAAATAAAAGTTATAATTTTTATACTTTTTTTAAATTATTCAAATTTATTATTTAAATAATAGATCTATTATATCAATTATTCAAATATAATAAGTAAAACCAAAAAATTTTTTTAGAAATTCAAAATAAAAAAATATTTCAATTAAATAAAAAAAATTTTTTTAATTAACCTTTTAAAAAAGTCTTGAATTATTTTATTATTATTATTATTTTTTTCTTTTTTATTATTTTTTAATTTAGTACTTATAATTTTTTAGATTAATAATAATATTAAACTATCAATTATAAATCTAAAAGATAGAAATTAAATCAATTTTTTAAAAAAATAAAATATTGTTTTTAAATTTGATTTAAAATACTTAAATACAATAATAAGTTAGTATTTTTATAAAATCTATAATATTATAATTAATTATGTAAACTCTTTAATAAAGATAAATCAAATAATACAATTATAGATTAAAAAAAATATCTCTTATAAAAAATAATTTATGGTTTTTTATAAATTAAAACATTTATTTAAATTTTTTATTAATTTTTTTAAAAATTTAAAATTGCATTTCATAATTAATTAATTAATAAATTATCAAATAAATTAATATATTTAAAAAAAATTTTTTTATTAAATTATAATTAAAAATTTTCAAAAACAAGTGTTTTTACTATATATTTGATTATTAAATTCTCAATAAACATATATTATTTATAATTAATTAATTACAAAATATTAATTAATTTAATTGTTGCTTACTTAATTTTAATAACTAAATTCAATTCATGCATAACTAAAAATATCTATTATATCATAATTTCCGGCCACTTGGATAGCACCTGCGTTTCTTTGAGCAACTGATAACCAATTAGGATCATCAGCCACAAATTAGTGCATAACAAGGAATCAAAAGAATGTGTATGCACTTATTTTATATAAATAATTGTATCACGCTTTAACATTCAAGTCGATTGGTGACTGAGTGTACTCTCTGACCAAAGATGCACATAAGTAATTTTTATTTTTGTAAAGGCAACAATTTATTCTAAAGAACTCTATCCTTTTCCAATTTATCTCTTTCCAAGAAATATATATTATCAGTTTTTCTTTTTTCTTCTTTATAACAATATTTAACTGCAATGTCAGACATGAGAAGTTCAGCCTTCTCCTATCCTTCACCGGCAACTAAAATTCCGAGAACAGATATATCACTTCGTGAAATACTGGACACTTATCGTGATAATAATGATCTATTAAAGCAAATTCTCGCGGCAAAGGCCGAAGAGGATAAGGCAAGGAATTTAGAATTTTATGTCATCGGTTCACAGGACAAGTTTTAGTCACTTTCAAAGTGTGTGAAATTCCAATGCAGTAGAAATGTCTGCATAGTTCCCTCGTCGAAACCGACCATAACATGATTAAATTGAAATGATCCGAACAATTATATAATATTCCCGTTTTTATCCAATTTAGAGACGTGCTGAAGAGGAAAAGTATAAGACCGAGGCACTTCGTTTGCAATGCAAGCAAGTGGAATTAGAGATGCTAAAAGAACAGAAGAAACCTCCTACAATTTTCACGGGAGTTCCACGTAATGCAAAATCGTTGATAATAGTCTTATTTTGGGGGGGAGTAGAATCAAATCTTAACACTTTTGATCGTTCTTTTATATATAGCGATGAATACTTCATCTAGCTTTAATGCGTAAGGTTTAAAGCACTTACTATCGACATTGGGCTCTATTCTAAATATTCAAGCGCAGAAATTAATATTAAATGGAATTTCATTTTGCAATATTAACACAGAAAATCACCCTCAGACATTCATAGTCCATATTTACCAATACCTCCGCCTATTGGTCAGTAAAAAACTGTTCGATTGTTTAGGGTATATGTGGTTTATATTAATATTTCGGCTTATAAATTTATCAGACACTCATTTTTCAGCTACTACACCTACAAGTGCAACACGCCTGTCACCACCATCATCTGCTAATAACGGACATGACAGTATGTCCTATAGTCATAATGGGATCTCCTCGCAAAGTCATTCGTATAATTCTGTTAGTCAAAGACCCTCTTTAACACTCTCTATCCCTTCATTCCCAATCATAACGACATCACCAACCACCATGCATAATCAACACTCATTTTCCACACCTACCAGTAGTGTACAAGAACACCCTCATTCCGCATCTTCCCATCGTTACACTCAAAGTCCAACAACCATGAATAGTAATAATAAACGCCCTAAACTCAATTCCGAAAGTGAAGTCGATCACGAATATGTGATGGAGGCTTTAAGACAGAAAGTGCAAAGGAACCAGGAAAATCCGGCGAAGAAATATATGAATGTGTTTAAGCCAAGAAGTGTTAGTACACCGGTGGTTTCTCATAGTAATTCTTCGCCTAGCCAGCCACACCCCCATTCCCATCAACACCACCAGAGTCGAGATCAACCAAAGCATCAGCAGCAAACAGTTTCTCCTGTTGATCCTCCTATTGCGCGTTCTCCAATTCCGCCATTACCTCCGATGAATGTTCACTCGCCCGGAATGAATCAGGAACAAGCAACGAAAAGTTGAATAACTTTTTTTTTTGTATATTTTGTTATTGCATTCTTCACATATAGCACACCCAGATATAAGAGTGAAAGAAATTTTATTCAAAATAACCGAACTTCATTTAGAATATTGATTTATTCTCCGAAAAAAATAAGAGACAAATGACTTGATTATCTTTTCATTAAGTTATGTTTTCTTGGCTGGAACAAGAGATAAAAATTTAAATCGATTTCTCTAAATGAATAGTATCAAGTATATATATATATTTCTGAACACATTAAATATTCACATATGTAATAAATTTCCTTAGTGGATGGTTATTATTTAACGTAGAGATTATCCTTTTACTTGGGTCCAATATCGAGGTTACGTCTTGCGTAACACAATCGATCATTAATTTCTAAAACTGGAAACAGTCTGGAATGCATCATTAAGGTTATATTGGCATCAGGAATTTATACAAGATTGCGTTCCTTTGTCTAGACTTGAATTCGATGTGTTACAGCTACATAATGCGTAACATATAAATCGGAATAATTTTTTTTTTAACAGAATCAAAAAAGGACAATGCAAAATTTTAAAGTTATAATTACGAAATACAATCGAAATAATGTGGAAATAAAAATGTGACTTTTGCTTATGAAATAATTTCACGTCGCTCTCTTGATCATAATAATACCTGACATACAGTATAATGGAAATGAATTTGTCATTGATACCACGAATTATAAGAATAAAGAAAGGAAGCACAAAATGAACGATAATGCTATATATGTTTGGCCACAGCGTTAGGGTCACACCAACCGACTATATTACATCGGATACTTAGTTATTTATAACATTCTTCTGTATATAAAAATAACTTTTGGTTATAATTAAATAAATAGAATAAATGTCTATTTTCATTTTTAAAACAATAATTCTATCAATCTATTGTATTGAAAATAGAAATAACGAGTTTATACAACAATATACAGTATAGCTCCAGTTATTAAACTAAGAAGAATGCTCTTAAAATAAGATAATTTTTCAATAAACTTTTTATAGTTATAACCTGGTTATAATAATATATTTTTAAAGTTCCAGTTATTGATAATATGATTTTATCTGAGTATAATTACATTTTTTTAATTAATTTAATTATAGTTATATATACTATATTTAAACTATAATCATAATTTTATTATAGTCACAAAATTTAATAGTTTTTAGAATATAATAATAATAATTGGTATTTAATAGAATAGTTATTAAATTAGTTATATATGGTTTAAAATTTTTGTAAACAATACATAAATATAATATATATTACTAAAATTAATTTTCTAATTAACTTTTTTTTTTTTAACCCACAGTCAAATCAGCATGACATGTCTTTATTGTATATATGCTAGATATTTACAAATTGTTGTGACTATCATATACTGACTTACTCGTTATCAAAAAGTTATTTCTCTAAATGCAACCTAGGGAATGATATTTCGCTCCTTTACTAATTTAGATAAATCCTCTAATTAATAAAATCATTGCCTACAGGTCATTACTATAGATCATTCTAAGTTCTGTCTGCAGTTAAAAATCAAACCACTTTATTCCATGACAAACCCAATTCTTAATAATCACCGTATACTTCTTTTCTTCTATTTCTTTGATATTCTTTAGGTTTAAATTCTTTGGAGGTAATGACAATTTTTTTTGGTCCTATTCAGTTTATTTATCAGGTCTGATCTTGAACCTCTTGTTTTTTTTATTCTTTTTTATAATATTTTGCTTCTTTTTCCATTCTATAACTTTGGCACAGCACGTATTTCAGATCTTCTTTTTAAAATTGGCTCTTATCTTTTGACAAAATTTACTAATTATATCCTGTGTATTTGCTGGTGGGATCTTAAGTTGCTCTTGGAGATACTTCTTCAAGGAGGTGGTCTTGCTTTCTTCCATATGTCCATAGATGGTATTGAAAAGACCCCTGTTAGATTTCTGAATCTCTTATAACCATTTATCTATCCAGTTACTTATTTCAGGTTGAACTTCTTTCTTATGTTTAATTTCTTTATCGATGAGTTTATTAATCTTTTCATTTGCTTTCTGCCATAAGTTCCTTTGAGTTTTTCTAGTGGCTAGGCATTAAAAAAGATGTCCTAGTGTCTCTTCTTAAAGTTTGCATTCTGGACAAGTAGTTGTGATATATATTTCTGGTTTCCTCTTTTTAAATATCTGTAAGACTGGAAGTTTATTGTGAGTTAAGTTAGTTAAAAAGCTTTTGTCTTTATTGATTTTGAAAGAGGTATCGAAGATATTGGTTGGATTAAACTAATTCCAAAAGATTGTCCAGTCTATATTTTTAGTATTTTGGATCCAAAGATCCTGGATCTATTTCTGTGTTGTCCAGTCTAGTCCAATCTTTTTCTTATTGAACATTTTAATGAAATCTCTGATACCAATTTCTATTATGTGTTCTCCCCATGCTACTATCATGAGGACTCTTCCTAGCTCTAGTAGCTGATGCCAAGTTATTGGGTTCTCCCGTCTGACCTATTTGGCAACTAAGTCTACTTTATTATTGAATCTGTTAATTCTGTGGACTTTGACCTTTAGAATTTCCAGATTCAAATCTTTCTTCTTTACTAGGTCCTTAATCTTATTTCAAAGTGGCCA